TGAAAATTGTTATCGCAGTATAAGAGGTTGGACTCTTATATTTGAAAATTGTTATCGCAGTTTAAGAGCTAGGTATAAAAATATACCAATTATGCATTCCTTTGAATAACATACCGTTAATACATTAATTAACAGCAAATCAGTAATTGTGCACCTTATTTTTGGCATATCTGTCTTAAAATGTAATAAACAGAATCGTATAATCCTTGTTATTACATATAGATTCAGTTAATTACCAAACAGGGACTCTACTGAGTTTATTTTTGTACATTAAAAGACACATTTTTAAGCCCAATTTATCTTTAAAAAAACAAAAACATTTTTATTATGTAAAGTGACCTTAAAATGAAAAGCGCTTAAAAACTTTTAACCTAAATTGAAAAAAAAATCGCATTCATTCATTCATTCGTTCGTTCGTTCATTCATCATCCAGTCAGTCATTCATTCGTCCATCCATGCATCATCCAGTCACACATTCATTCATCCATCCATCCATCTATCCATTCGTCCATTCATTCATTCATTCATTCATTCATTCATTCATTCATTCATTCATTCATTCATTCATTCATCAATTCATTCATTCATCCATCGTTTCGGTAGCTCGTTTATTCATCTATCCATCAATTCATTCATTTGTTTATTGATTAATTCATTCATAAATTCATTCATTTATCAATCCATTCATTCATTTATCCATTCAACCATCCATCCATGCATCCAACCATCCATCCATTCATTTATTCATTCATCATCCAATCATACATTCATTCATCCATGCATCATCCGTCCATTCGGTTATTCATTCATTCATCCATTCATTCATCCAGTCATCCATCCATTCATTCATGGATTCATTCATTTATTCATCCATCAATCAATCCATTCATCCATCAATTCATTCATTAATCCATCCATCCATTAATTTATTTATTCATTCATTCACCCGTCTGTTCATTCATTCATTTGTTTATTTATTTATTCATTCATTCATTCATTCATTCATTCATTCATTCATTCATTCATTCATTCATTCATTCATTCATTCATCAATCTATCTATCTATCCATCCATTCATGCTTTCATTCATTCATCCATTCGTTCGTTCGTTCATTCATTCATCCATCAATTCATTCTCTTGTTTATTCATACATTCATTCATTTATCCATTCATCAATTTATTCATTCATTCATCCATCAAACCCTCCATTCATTCTCTTTCATTAATTTATCATCCAGTTATTCATTCATTCATCCATCTATGCATCATCCATCTATCCATTCATTCATTAACTCATCAATATATCCATTCATTCATTCACTCACGCATCCAGTCAGCTATCCATCCATTCATTTATGCATTCATCCATCAATACAATCATTCATTCATTCATTCTTTTATTTATTTATTCACCCGTTCGTTCGTTAATTCATTCATTCGTTTATTCAGTCATTCATTCATCCATCCATCATTCATCCATTTTTTTATCCATCCATCCATTCTCCATTCATTAATTAATTCATTCATTAAAAAAATTGTTTGAACTTTGAAACGCTTAAAATCCTTCTAAAAATATTGGCTTGAACTATTGTGTTAAAGGTACATTATGCCTCAAAATCAAATAAAAGTTTACTTCTTTAGAAAGGAAAAGCATAAATTCTTATAATTTTTAGATAATGTTTTTTTGAGAAATCTTAGATGTTTGTTGCACGAAATGGTAGTGATAAATGTTAAATTGTTTGTCATAAAAGTAGCAAAATGTTAACAAAGTAGTATTTTGACTTCCATAAAAAATATTAATTTTTCTATAACTGAACTCATTGCCAAAATTGCTTAAATTGCAATTATTAAAATAATCAGTAACATTATCTTTTCACAAATCCGGTTCACTTTGTCACACAAGCCGGAAAATACCTAGGTGTAAAATTGCCCGTATAACAATTGTAATTAAGGAGTTGTAAATACAGGAAAACGGAAATGTTTTTCACAGTATTTGTACGATTTTTATTACCTAGACAAAATCTGCTCAAAGCTATATCGGAAGCTTAATAATTAGTTAATAATTACGAGAACAGAGTATTAGGCACTGCCTGAAAGGTATATAATAAGAGTTTTCAGTAAGCCAGGCATTATTTCTTCACCAGTAAATGAAACACAGTTTAATTATATTACCAACATTTTTTTATTTTACTTGAATACAACGAAATATGGCTTTACGGTGAGTACATTTTTATATATGATATATAAATATATAATTATTTTGTTTAAATACAATATTCATTTCTGTTTTCAGACATAACATTATAATTTCTGCTAATTAATGTTTTTTTTTTTTTAAATTCAGCATTTAACACTAAATACTTAAGAATTCAACACTGAAAAGAGCAGTGTTACTTTGTTTGTTTAATCAAAGCGTATATATTTTATTGAATTTAAATAAATTATCTAAAAATGAAAATATGATTTGTTATTTATCATACATATTTATCAATTTACTTTCAGGCTTCGTTTGTTCGAGAACGCTGGGGAATCTCCGATGCAGACAACTTCCGGTGACATATGGGACGAGATCGAGGCTGTAATAACGCCGTATAGAAAGGATAAACTAGAAGATGATTCAGGAGCAGATTATTCGGTGAGTGAAATGAACAAAAGACACGCAAGAAAAAATAAGAAAAAATACATATAAAAAAACATAAAAAATAACAAAACAAAAAACGATTAAAATTTCAAGTCTTTTATAAGTTGTCAATTCTAATGTCCTTTACTTAACTTACTATAGGTGTATATAGAGCTTATGGAGTTATATGGAAATATTTACACAGCCACCTGCTTTTAAGCGGTATTCAATCTTCAACTAGAATTCTTATGTTTAACTGCCTTAGATAGATCTATATGTTTAGAAATTTTATGGAAATGGACATGCATTTCTTTTCTATTTTACAGATAAAGATTCCTTCACGTTCCACCAAGAAGAGCCAATTCGCCGACGCTAGAAGAAGCTTGTTTTCTGGAAAACGACTTGCAGACGATAATCTTGAAGTAGAATCTCCAGCTATGAAGAAATCCAAGGCAGGTGACGTTTATTTGGTAAGTTGTATGAATTAATTATTTTGATACAATGTATAGTAAAAAACAACAACAACAGCCGGACATATTTGACAGTATAAACTCTGAATACCGGACCCTGCCCGAACTTCACCAAAGGTCCAGTTTTCAGATGATTCTGGGTTTCAGATGTTCTATACACTGTAAAAATTTCCCGTAAAATTTTACGGGAAAAGTCCTGGCAGCTGGTTTCCAGGACTTCCCCGTATATTTACGGGCTATCCGTAACATGTTTTGGCGTAAAAATACTGGTCAAGCAGTAAAATTACAGGCCTTAAACATTACGGAGGCCCAGTAAATATACGGATCAATGCTGGAGTCCAGCTGCCAGGTGGGTGGGGTAGTAATTTTCAGATATTAAGCATCATTTTATAAAAGCTTTAGATCGAGTAATCAAATGACATTCTGAAAATCAATTAAATATAACTTTTTGTTCTTTGAAAATCGAAAATAAAAATCCGTAACGAGCAAATTCTTGTACTAATTAGGATTTTTTGTAAGACATGTTTTACCTCTTGTCACACTTAGTAAAATGGCTGCCGTGCAACGCTATCCCGCAATGCAACGCAAACGAGGGTCCGGTACCGTATGATAGTGTACGGGATAAACCCGTTACGGAATACCAGTAAACGACTATAAATTTAACGGTAAATTTTTACAGTGTACATTTATCAATCATAATGTGTTTGAACATTGACTTTTTTTACACTTTCGTATCTACTTGTCAACCCTTTTGTCTTAGTTTTATAACTCCACGATCAAACTTTTAGGCAAAACAGGAACAACATTTAACAAAGTTTCTCATTTTTCTCCACATTTTATATGGAAAAAAAAACAACAACAAATTAAAATATTTTGAAAAATCATCACGATCATGATAAACTAAAACTGTATCTTAACATTCTAGGATTCCAACAACATCATCGAAGCTGTTGAGCGTTTAGAATCCCGTGAACTTGTCGCAGACGGGAGTCGTTGTTACACATTACCCACAATTCCCGGAAAACATGGTGACCTCATATCCATCTCTTCGGAAACAATGGCGGACGTTGTACAGGGGAAATATACCGATCAATTAGGGAACGTTACTGTTGTCGACTGTCGATATCCATACGAATTTGAGGGAGGTCATATCCGCGGGGCTGTGAACCTCTATACAAAAGACGCTGTAAACACATTGCTTCAAGAAACATCGACATCGGAGAAGCCACGTGTACTGATCTTTCACTGTGAATTCTCGTCAGAGAGGGGTCCGAAAATGTAAGTTATCCTTCTTTGATTTAATCTTTCATATACCCTGTATAAAACTGAAAATTTGACATTGTTGCACTAAATCCTAAATTAATCCTAATTCTTTATTAAAAGGTCCACTGAGGTCCAAAATCCTAGAAATGAAATTTGAATTTCATACATAGATCAACCGGGACACTTAAAACAGAAAGATTTGCATAAGATAAATAAGAAATATACTCAGTTATAAATTGAAAATCGTATTTTGTGCTACTTTGAGCCCGATAGGAGTGAAAAGCTTTGCAACGCTTTTCAATTTTGGTTTATTTTTCACAATTAGAATAACTATGCTGGAAAAATGGAGTGAACGAATGATTTGAAATTTTGGACACAAGTTAATTATTGTTCTACACCTACATCAAATGGAACAGTAACCTTGAAAAATTATTTCCTGTCCCGTCATGTCAAAAACCTCAGTGGAGTCCTTTTAAAAAGAATGTTGCATTTCAACTAAAATTAATATGTATGTATCATATTTTTCTGTAACTATAATTATATTCTATTTTTTTCATGCATTTTAGGTATCGCTTCTTGAGAAGTCAGGATCGTGAGTTGAACAAAGACAGGTACCCACTTCTGAACTACCCCGAAATATACTTACTCGACAGTGGATACAAGGCGTTCTTCTATAAATTTCAAGACTTGTGTGATCCAATCAGCTACAAACCAATGCTACACGAGGACCATGCCGCCGATTTACGTCATTTCCGGGTCAAGTCTAAATCTTGGACAGCTGGAGAGAAACAGAAGACGAGCAGACGATCAAGAAGTAGACTTTCCTATGCAATAGACATTTAACTATTCAAATAAATATGACACACCTAAGTGCTTTCATTTGTAATGTGCTACTGTTATATTGTTTTACTTGTTAAGAATTTTGAAATAAATTTTTAAAAAATGTTTTGTTATATATGTTTTGCAATAAAAGCATCAAATCCTTGGTAATTAAACACTTGCCCCTTATTGTTGCCGACTTCAATCAAAATTTGGCTCTTTTGGAACAGAAATAATGCATTGTTGACATTTGAACTTGCATTATGCTTGATTCCATTTTCATTATTTCATTCAAACTTTCGTAGTGATTCAGAATCGATACTTACGCTCACACGTAAATCCCATATAATTGCCTAACGGTGAAGGCTTTGCACCTTTCAGTAAAGTGGTATTCAGATTATAAAGAAAGTGTCGAGTGAACTGAGGAGGGGGCTACCTTGAGGTGTCCTCAATAAAATAGTACTGAATACCACTTAGTATTGATTTTGAATTAATTTCGTCCCATATACGTGCATCATATGCGCGAACGGAAATAAATGTTGACAAACAGGGATAGAGATGATCTTATTAAATTTATGTCAGAAGTTGAATTTTATCAGAAATTTTGATTTTCGAAGGAGTTTGCACAGTTTATATACGGAATGATACACGTAGTATGAACCATTAAGAGTGTATTCAGCTCACGGGATATCAGTGCTTATGTCAAAAAGAAGTGAAATTATACGATTTCAAATTTCTTGAATTTCCCTTTATCCATGAAAATAACTGTTCCTGTGATTGTCAAATTCTGAACTTGTCGTATGCGTCTAAATATAGGCATATTTACATTTAATGTTAGCATGATTTATATACTTTCCTAAACGAGAATATGGTGTTTAATCACTTAAATCAAGTTTGTAACTTTAATAGCTATATAATGTTTTACCGCTTCAGTCGTCAGATATTCCTGCATCACAATCAAACAGGGTGTTTTTTTATATATAATAGGTGGGGGTTATTTATACAATCATTGAGTCTTATTTAAGATTTTTTCGCCCTGTCTTTCATATGGAATAGAATTAGTGCATTTATTCCATCTTGCTTGATGATATTTGGACTTACATTATGCTTGCTCCATACTCCCTTATGACAATTTAAGTAACAATTTTAACAAACTTTTGGTATGGTACGTTTGCATTTCGAGAATTTTTTTTTTCTGCATATAATATGATCTTACAACAAACAAACAAAATTCTGCTTATTTCGTGCTTAGTTTACAAAAGTTAGCTTCGTAACAATCTGTGCTCTCGTCCACGACGCCATCAAAACATTACGCTACATTGTTGAAAACGTCGTAATTACCCGAATTTCGTGACATTTGTAACATGTCATGTGCATATTTTCGCTTGATTCTCTATAAGTAAAGCACACTTTACTTACGATGGAGTTTATTTCTGATGATTTTTCACAGTCTGCTAATCCGCCTTAAAATATAGTCTGGCCTGTGTAAAAGTTATAATATAGAGGGCATTTGTTTTTGTTTTTTGTGTAAGATGAGTTTTTTGTCATCGAGTGATCTTTAAAACAGGATTCATCACTCGTGAGAATACTGTTTTTGAAGTTCACTAGATGAAATAAAATGACATCTAAGTACACAACAAATAAAAATAATTTTCTTTTATTTCATGCTTAAATACAAGTTTAGATGAAATTCCCTCAACAATAAATTCAATATCAAAATCTGTTTCCCCCATTTGTAGCCCCAAATTTCAGACGAATTTCTTATAAATACATGAAGTCTTGAGCAAAAAAAAAGTTCAACGTTGAATGGTGATGATAAAATTTATATTATACAAAATTAGAATGATTGCTTGTTTTAATAATAAATAATTAAAACAAACAAAATGCTGCACCATGCTTAGATAATATTTGTTATTTTCCGCAGTTTATATTAGTCTTACTCTAGAAATGTAAGCGACCGCCATTTTTGTGTTTGTGTGTTTCACGGGAGGAAAAACAAAATGTGTCTGATTTAGAGGGATTTCATTTGGATTTGTTAATTCTACATCTTTTCATAAGAAAAAAAATGTTTGAAGATTGTTACAGACTTTGAAAGGCTGTCTTACGAACGCTTGGTTGTTTACTTCTGTCATTGCTGTTATACATCGCATTACATTATTACATTACATTATTGATCGTGGGATAGTTAAATAACCAGCTATCAACAAGAGCAGTTTAACATGTGGAAGAAAGTGTAGTTTTCATACTTTTATTTTGTGGCATATTTCTGCCACCAGATAACCTGATAACTAACTAGTTAATTAAGAGGTTAACTAGTTATGTAACTAGTTAACCTCTTAATTAACTAATTAGTTATCAGGTTATCTGGTGGCAGAAAATTGCCACCATACTTTTAAAATGAAATAACAAAACAAAATCAATATATAAATCTTGGTGATTGCTAAATTGAGCCTTGTCTTACATTTGAAATAAAAGTTATTTATGTATTTCAGCTTTGATATGGTCTAAGCGGCCCTGATAATGCCGCAATTGTAAAACATTGAAATACTATATGGGGAAAATATTTAAAAGTAGTCCCTTCATTGAAAAGTGTGAAATTACATTTTTGAAATTATCAAATATCTGAAGTATTATTATTTTTTTTTTTAGAAATACATGTACTGTTCAAATAACCATTTACCTTTTGGGTGGTAGTTGGGGATACACGCGAATAACCAACTGATATGGAGACACGTTGAAACAAGGTGATTCCATAATGAAGAACACATCTACCTTGCTGTATATCTCTTGCATTAATTCCTAAAAATACCTTCTGTTTGGAGGGCAAACATGCTACCTTCGAATTACCAAGTACTCATTGGTAGTTGGGATTCGCGCGAATAACCAACTGGGTCCCTCCTTTATTCTGTATGATATGTTCGAACACAGTGGATCCTTGGTCTGTGAGTCATGTTTACAATTTCAGTAGTGTTCTATGCGTCAATGTGTGGACAGTGTGTGAGGAGTGCAGTATGTGTCAGGTCAGTCTTTGAGACGTGTCCTGTTTGGTGGGGTTTATGTAGTGTGTCAGGTCAGTGTTTGAATAGTATCTTGTCTGTCAGGTTAGTGCGTAAGAAGTTTCCTGTGTGTCAGTGTTTGAGTTGTGTCCTTTTCAGTGCCCTGCGTATCAGTGTTTTAGTAGTGCCTTGCATGTCATTGTTTGAGAAGTATCCTGTGTGTTAGTGTTTTAATAATGTCCTGCGTATCAGGGTATGAGTAGTCCTGTGTTTCAGTGTTTGAAAAGTTTCCTGTGTTTCTGTGTTTCAGTGTTTTAGTAATGTCCTGCGTGTCAGTGTTTGAGAAGTGTCCTCTGTTTCAGTGTTTGAGTAGTGTCCTGTGTGTGATTGTTGCAGTAGTGTCATTTGTGTCAGTGTCCTGTGTGTCAGTGTTGCAGTAGTGTACTCTGTGTTAGTGTTGCAGTAGTGTACTGTGTGTCAGTGTTGCAGTAGTGTACTGTGTGTCAGTGTTGCAGTAGTGTCCTGTGTGGTAGTAGTGTTCTGTATATTAGTGTTTCAGTAGTGTCCTGTGTGTCAGTGTTATAGTTGTGTCCTGTGTGTCAGTGTTGCAATAGTGTACTGTGTGTCAGTAGTGCAGTAGTGTACTGTGTGTCAGTGTTGCAGTAGTGTCCTGTGTGTCAGTAGTGCAATAATGTCCTGTGTGTTAGTGTGCAGTAGTGTCCTGTGTGTTAGTAGTGTTCTGTATGTTAGTGTTTCAGTAAGTGTCCTGTGTGTCAGTGTTATAGTTGAGTCCTGTATTTCAGTATTGTCCTTTGTGTTAGTGTTGCAGTAGTGCATGTGTGTCAGTAGTGTCTTGTATGTCAATAGTGTCGTGTGTCAGTAATGTCCAGTGTGTTAGTGTTCTGTGTGTCAGTAGTGTCCTGTGTGTCAGTGATGCAGTAGTGTCCTGTATGTCAGAAGTGTCCTTTGTGTAAGTGTTGCAGTAGTGCCCTGTGTGTACGTAGTGTCGTGTAATGTCAGTAATGTTCCGTGTTCTGTGTGTCAGCAGTGTCATGTGTGTCAGTGTTGAAATACTGTTGTGTGTCAGTGTTGCAGTAGTGTCCTGTGTGTCAGTGTTGCAGTACTGTCCTATATGTTAGTGTTGCAGTAGTGTCAGTGTGTCAGTAGTGTCCTGTGTGTCAGTGTTACAGTAGTGTCCTGTGTGTCAGTAGTTTCCTGTGTGTCAGTGTTGAAGTACTGTTGTGTGTCAGTGTTGTAGTAGTGTTCCAGTAGTGTCCTGTATGTTAGTGTTGCAGTTGTGTCCTGTGTGTCAGTAGTTTCCTGTGTGTCAGTCGTGTTCTTTGCAGTAATGTTATGTGTGTCCTGTGTGTCAGTGTTGCAGTTGTGTGTCAGTAGTGTCGATTGTGTCAGTGTTGAGGTAGTGTTCTGTGTGTCAGTGTTGCAGTAATGTTCTGTATGTTAGTGTTGCAGTAGTCTAAGTTTGTCAGTAGTGAGTTGTGTCTTTTGAGTTAGTATTGTGTGTATAGTGTCATGTGTAAACATTTGAGTTCTCTATTATTTATTATAATTATATTAATTACTATACGAAAGATTGTCAGTATTTTAGTGAAGTAGAAAGATTGTTAGTATTTTAGTGGAGTAGCGGGGGATCGAACTCGCAACCCCTAGATTTGTAGTCAGACAGTGTTACCACTGCACCACAGCGCCCGCTCTGATTAATAACTATTTTGGAAGTCCCTATATACATTATCACATTAGTAAACTTGAAATTGAATAATGCAATTTAATTTTCACACCTAAATAGTTAATATAGCTGTTAGCTCTAAAGTGTTTTACAATGGCTGACATTCGTATCCTTGCTCCAAGGTTATGATAAAGGACTTACAAAAACGAATAGTAAAAAGAAAATAAGTAAGACTGTTGACAGGCAATAAAAAACATGCCAGAAAAAAAACATGTTTCGTTTGATATAATCGCAGTTCTAATATTGACAGTAATTAAGCGAAATTACTAGTAATACTTGTTGTTAATGATAAATGATGGTTTGAAGTCTTTTAAATATAATTTTCACATTTTAAAAATAACATTGTTAGTGGAAATTAGGTGAAAAAAGTATCTTCAAGCTGCAAAACTCCAGCCACATACTCATTTTCATGATTTTTTTTAATTAATGTAAATTAAATGTATAACATTTTCGAGGGAACAAAGAAACTAATTTACACATTTGCAAAGGACACTCTCAATCCACGTAAATTAGCAAATTAATTTAGATATATGCAAAAAAAAAAATTACAAATATATGACACGTTAGATGAATTCTACCAAATGGTATTACCACGCACTCTACGTCGACCAAGGCACACAGTTGGTTATTTGCGTGAATCCTCAGTTACCTTGGTAATTTGGATATTGCATGGATATTAACGGTTGGTTATACGTATAACAAGATATGTGTTTCTATAATACGGTAACACCCCTTCACCATACATCGACCAAGGCACACCGTTGGTTATACGCGTGAATCCACAACTACCTATTAGAAGGTAGTTTGCAACTCGAACTTTGCATGTTTGCCCATAATAAAAGAAAGTGTGTGTTTTTTTTTCAGAATAAATATGACGGGTATATAGCCAGATAGATGTATTCTTCAAAATTGAAAAACCCCGTCTCCCTATGTCATCCAGGGGACACAGTTGGTTTTTCGCTTGTTTACAAAACTACTTACTGGAAGGTAGTTGGTAATTTGGATATTGCATATATTCCTCCGAAAACAAAGTATTTTTTTCTGAAACAAATGTTACCGTTATATAACTAAATATGTGTTTTCTACATGTATACTATGGTAACCCATAATAACAGAAAGTGTTTTTTTCAGAATAAATAGGACGGGTATATAGCAAGATAGATGTATTCTTCATTATTGAAAAACCCCGTCTCCCTATGTCATCCAGGGGACACAGTTGGTTTTTCGCTTGTTTACAAAACTATACACTAGAGGGTAGTTGGTAATTTGGATATTGCATATATTCCTCCGAAAACAAAGTATTTTTTTCTGAAACAAATGTTACCTTTATATAACTAAATATGTGTTTTCTACATGTATACTATGGTAACCCATAATAACAGAAAGTGTTGTTTTTTTCAGAATAAATAAGACGGGTATATAGCAAGATAGATGTATTCTTCATTATTGAAAAACCCCGTCTCCCTATGTCATCCAGGGGACACAGTTGGTTTTTCGCTTGTTTACAAAAGGTCTCAACCCGGTACGGAATTAGACCCAGCCCGTTGTAGTCTAGAAAGTAGTTCTTTTAAATTTTGAAATGGCCTATTTCAAGTCATCTTAATTGATACTGGTTATATTTTAAGTATATCTTTAGTTATTGTGTACATAAAGTTTCATTTCTGAGTACTTTAAAGGTTGTTTTTGATGTATTTTTGCAGGATTTCATTTCTGGGTGGAAGGTTTCAGCAGGCACTATGCACAAGAATACACACCAGTTACTATTTGGAATAATCTATAGTGATTACAGAAATTAAAAGCTGCAGAAAAACTCCAAGGGCTAATGTATTATTTTTTTGTGCTGAATTTATTAGGACTGCATTGTTGTTTAAAGAAATGGTCATGAAATTTCGGTACCGGATTTGCTTTGTGCAGAATTTAGCCTTAAATGTAATGGATTTACTATAGGATATATGGGTCGAAAATTCAGTGGGCCGTCTCCAAAACTACTTACTGGAAGGTAGTTGGTAATTTGGATATTGCATATATTCCTCCGAAAACAAAGTATTTTTTTCTGAAACAAATGTTACCGTTATATAACTAAATATGTGTTTTCTACATGTATACTATGGTAACCCATAATAACAGAAAGTGTTTTTTTCAGAATAAATAGGACGGGTATATAGCAAGTTAGATGTATTCTTCATTATTGAAAAACCCCGTCTCCCTATGTCATCCAGGGGACACAGTTTTTTTTCGCTTGTTTACAAAACTATACACTAGAGGGTAGTTGGTAATTTGGATATTGCATATATTCCTCCGAAAACAAAGTATTTTTTTCTGAAACAAATGTTACCTTTATATAACTAAATATGTGTTTTCTACATGTATACTGTGGTAACACACTTTTCACTATAAATCGACCTGGGAACTCAGATGGTTAATAGCTTGAATCCCAAACTGCCCACCAGAAGGTAGTCGGTTATTCGAACTTCTGGTAGGTAGTCACTAAAAAAAATCACAAAAAAGTAACAGATATATGACAAGATAGATGTATTCTACCAAATGGTATCACCCCGTCTCCCTACGTCGACCAGACCCTCTGGTGGTTATTTGTGTGAGTCCCCAACTACCTACCACAAGGTAGCTGGTAATCCGAACTTTTGCTGTTAGATAGTTAGGGATTCGCGCGATAAACAATTAGGTTCCCTCCTTTATTCTGTGTTTAAAAGTGTATGATGTGTTCTAACATTTCATGCTAATGATATTGGATTGAATTGCCAACTACTAGCTGTTGAATAGTTGGGAATTACGAATAACCAACTATCAGCTAGTAGGTAGTTGGTTATTCGAATAACCAACTACCAACTACCTACCAAATTGACGCTCATTCATTTTTGTATCTTTAAAAGGATTCAACTGAGGTTTTTTGGCATGATGGTACTGAAAATATTTATTCCAGATAAATGAACCATTTGATGTAGATTAAGACCAGTAATCTTTGCGCGAAATTTCAGATCATTCGCGCACTTTTTTTTTTTTTTCAGAATAATTATTCAAATTGTGAAAAAAGA